TGCGAGTTGTAGAGGTCACTCCCCTTCGACTGCTGTAAGTATCCCTGGGATACTGCCTTGAGGGAGATAAGCATGGAATGTGCATCTGTTTTTGGCTGCTGTGCAGTTTTGCCAGTTTCCCATCCCCCTTGGCCTTTGGCAGGCCAGGGATGCTTTGCGAGTTGACTTTCAAGAGAAGACTGAGGCTCTATCAGTGGTGGCTAATCTTGATGGCTGTTGGCCATCTGTGGAATCATAGCTAGGTGAACAATTACGGAAAAGGGCTCTCACCTTTTTGATCATATTTGTGTGATCCTTGAATGCCTGTGGTTGACCACTGTGCAACTAAGAAAGGCTAGGCTTAATGAGTTATTGGCTTGCTCCAGCAGGACTCTTAACTTTCTCATGTTCTCATCACTTGAGTGTCTTTTTTAAATTTAAATTTATTTTATTTTACAGTTTTAATTCACAAATGTAAAAACAAAGTTATTGATGAAGACCCATCTTCTAAATATCTTTCAATGATGTTTTTATTTATAGTACAATTGACTTTGGCCACCTCAGTTCATTCTCTTTTCAGCATTGCCAACTTTGTATTTCCTCGTATACATCTTCACAAATCTTCTTAGCCAAGCATCAGTTACACAGAACCAATCTTTTTTCGCTCTTTGAAGAGGACTTTCTGTTTGACAAAGCGATCATAGCTTAACATTACCAGCTTGTCTTGAAGCCGGAGTCTTTTTACATTAAAAGAACAGCCCATTCCTGCTTCATTGACCATTCTCACAAGTACAGTAGTGGCCAAAATTGTGGAAAACTTTTGGGAAAGGTGTATTTTCTAAAACTAGCTAATAACACCACTTTTTTTTGGAGTAGTACCATAAAATTATATATCAATGGAAAGATAATTTAATCAAGAATGCAGTGCAATAACTTTTATAAGGATTTGCTATTAGAATAGCAGTTACAGTATAAAGAAGAAAACTGAAACACGTAGGAAAAATGAGACATACAAAAATTATCACCATAGAAAAAATGAGATATACAAAAACTATCACCATAGAAAAAATGAGATATACAAAAATTATCACCATATCTGTTGTTAATACAGTAGTTGGATAATCTTTAGCATGAATTATGGCCTTACAACATCTTCCCATGGAGTGAACCAAGTCTTTTAGTTCTGCAGCTGTTATAATGTGAAACCAAGATTGAATGATTGCTTCTATTAACTGGGTTTTATTGCTGGGTCACTTCTGATTAACAAGTTTCTTTAGTCGGCTCCATAGATTTTCAATTGGGTTAAGGTCTGGGCTATTCCCAGGCCATTCCAGCAGTGGAATAGGATTATCTTGAAACTCCCCCCCCCAAAAAAAAGTGGTGTTATTAGCCATCAAACCTCAAAAATACACTTTTCCCAAAAGGTTTCCACAATTTTGGCCACTACTGTATATACATTGATTTGGTTTTCTTGGCCAACTTAACCACTGTCAGCCACATGGCAATGACGACGCCGGCAGCTAAACTCACTCAACTCCAAGTAACCATCGAGCCATCTTCACTTGAGTGTCTTGTAATCCCATACAACCACTGAGTTGGCTCTGAAAGGGAATTCATGCAGAAGCACCTGGAGTTTCTACCTCTTTCTCATTCAATGAAACAAAACACGGACTATAGGTACCCCTTGATTTACAATCACAATTGGGATTAGAATTTCTGTTCTCAAGCAAGGTGGTTGTTAAGTGACTCGTGCCCAGATTTATGACCCTTTTTCCCCACAGTTGTTGAGCTAATCACTTCAGTTGTTAAGTGAATTGTTTAGTTGTTAAGAAAATCTGCCTTTCCTCATTGACTTTGCTTGTCAGAAGCTGGCTGGGAAGGACACAAATAGCCATAGCAATAACACTCAGACTTATATACCACTCTATGCTGCTTTACAGCTCTTTCTAAGCAGTTTACAGAGTCAGCATATTGCCCCCAACAATCTGGGTCCTCATTTTACCAACCTTAGATGGATGGAAGGCTGAGTCAACCTTGAGCTGGTCAGGATTGAACTCCTGGCAGTGGGCAGAGTTAGCTTGCAATACTGCATTCCAACCACTGCGCCACCACGGTTCACATGGTGATCACAACCCCAGGAAGCTGCAAACATTGTAAATACATGCCGGTTGCCAAGCACCTGAATTTTGATCACATGTCCATGGAGGTGCCATGTCAGTTGTAAGTGCGAGGATTGGTTGTAAGTCACTTTTTTTAGTGTCATAACTTCTAACTCTCTGAAGCTGCAGACTGCCTGTATCGGTTTGGGGAATTTACACCCTTTGATGGATGTATAAAAATGGAGCACAGCTTATACATTGATTAATTGATTATATTCCATTAAGTTGTTGTTGCCTCTTAGCATAGATGGGTTTTCTCCAGGACAATCTTTTCCCAACCTGCTCAGACTTTCCAATGGTGCACCCATCACCATTGTAACTAGTGTAACTTCTTGCCTCCAGAAATTGGGGTGCTCCATCACTGGAGGTTTGTAAGAAGAGATTAGACATCCATTTGTCTGCAAAGGTATAGGTTCTACTGCCTGGGCAAGGGGTTGGACTAGAACAGGGGTCTCCAACTTTGGCAACTTTAAGACTTCAACTCCCAGAATTGTTAAGAATTGTCACCTCTGGGAGTTGAAGTCCACAAGTCTTAAAGTTGCCAAAGTTGGAGACCCCTGGACTAGAAGACCTCCAAGGTCCCTTCCAACTGTTATGTTATCTGTAATACATTATCATCACCATCATCATCAAGCCATTGTCTCTTCACTGCAGGATGAAGGCCTCTTCTACTTGTTTCCAACCGATACGGTCCTGAGCTTTCTTTTGCCAATTGGGGTCTGCTGATATCTTGCTGATATCTTCAATCCACCTTGTTTTAGGTCTCTTTCATGGACGCTTTTAATCAAATGGGATCCATTCTGTGACTGCCTTGGTCCACCTGCCATCAGTTTCCTCTTGCGATGTGACCAGCCCATTTCCATTTCAGTTCTTTTTTATTTATTTTTTTTATTTTAAAAAAGTTTTTTTTATTAAATATACGATTAAAAACATTGGACATGATCCAGCTTTTCTGGTTTAAACATTTCCATCAAGTTTTACCTTACAACAAATACAATTTATCTTCGATATGTAAGTATGTACAGTCTATCACATTTCAAACACATAAATTTTCGTCTGTGAAGATTACTTCAATACCAATACCATTCCTACCACTCACAGAATACTAGCATAAAAATTTTCAAACTCTCAACTTATCAATATTCCTTTATTCCAATATTCCTCCTCCTCTCCAACCATTGATACATTTTATTCCAGATTTCATAATATTCTGTTTCACCCTTGTCTTTGAGTTCTAGAGTCAGCCTGTCCATTTCAGCACAAGTCAGTATCTTATTTATTATCTCTTCTTCGGGGTGTGTGTGTGTGTATCTCTTTACTTTTCCAATTTTGCGTGAAGACCAATATTGCTGCCGTTAGTATATGCAACATTAAATATATTGTTCTTTTATTATATTTGTCCTTTGTAATACCCAAGAGAAAAAGTTCTGGCTTTAAATCTATGTTTTGAATTAATATCTCTTCCAGCCATCATTTTATCTGATGCCAAAAATCTCTAGCTTTTGAGCATTCCCACCACATATGATAAAAAGTTCCTAGCGTTGCCATTTCAGTTCTTATACTCTGTTGATGATATTGTATAATTTCATTTGTTCTCTAATCCAGGGGTCTCCAACCTTGGCAACTTTAAGACTTGTGGACTTCGACTCCCAGAATTCCTCAGCCAGCTGAGGAATTCTTGGAGTTGGAGTCCAAAAGTTTGTAAAAGTTGCAAGGTTGGGGACCCCTGCTCTAATCCATCTGCAGGTCTTTCTATCTTGCCTTGTAATGCCGAGTATGCATCTTTCCGTGGCTCTTTGTGCCATTCGTAGCTTTCGTATCGTTCATGAGGTTGATGTCCATGTAAGACATACAGAAGGGAAAATGTCTGTTTTGTCCTATTCTGTTCTTCTGCCCTCGTCACTGAATGTGAGAGAATAACCCCCGTCACACGCCCATTTTGCAACTTCTCCCTTGCATGTGATTTATCTTTCCTCCGTGATTTCAGCCTGTCAGATCACGAGAAACCTGGGTGCAACTCCTTGGCAATTCCTGGCATAGCCATCACCAGATCTGTTCGAGTATGCATGGTGTCCTTTATGGGGAGAGAGAGAAAGATATGAGCAAACACTGCCGAGTCAATAGATAAGAGCAGATGGAGGAACCGGGGACAAGGCGTGTGTGTGTGTGACTCTGTGTGTGTATGTGTGTGTGCTGGAGGGGGGGAGAGAGGAACAGGAGGGAGAGAAGGATCTCTTTTGCAATCCTGTCACCATAGAAACCCAGCTCTATATAGCTCACTCTCAGCTACTCTGGGTGTCTAGAAATTACCTGCAAATGGAGTTTACCTGCAGCCTTCATAGTAGGTATGATGAGCTCTATTGAAGTTCTGGTGAAAGGCCTCCTCTGCTATTATGGGTAATTGTAATGGGGCAGAGCCTTGGTTCCGTGTGAAATCTCAAGAATTAGAAATCCCTACCCCCCCCTCCAGCTCTTTTAAAAAAAGTAGAGAAGTTTCGTTGGTGTCACGTTTTCAAAGTTTGTGCCTCCTCTTCTCTTCTCTTCTCTTCTCTTCTCTTCTCTTCTCTTCTCTTCTCTTCTCTTCTCTTCTCTTCTCTTCATCTCCTCTCGTCTCTTCTCCCCTCCCCTCCCCTCCTCCCTTATGTTCCGTCCCTTCCCTTCCCTTCCCTTCCTTTCCTTTCCTTTCCTTTCCTTTCCTTTCCTTTCCTTTCCTTTCCCTTCCTTCCCTTCCTTTTCCTTTCCTTTCCTTTCCTTTCCCTTCCCTTCCCTTCCCTTCCCTTCCCTTCCCTTCCCTTTCCGATATATAAATATCTACGCTAAACTAAGTTAAACTAAGATAAATGTCTTTTTTTTTTTTTACAGGAAACAGGAGGCACTGAACAGCACAGATGCGACGACTCCAGACAGACCTTTATCTCCACCCTTTACAGCCCCACCAAGCATGAAGGTAAGGATCTACGGAATGGATAGATTATGGTGTGTGGCGGCATGTCTTCTTCTGGCTGTTTTATCTTCCACTTTATGGAGGTGGCGGGTGGGGGCTGCATTTCTGTTGGAGCCATTTTCAAAACAAGGGGAAACAACTCCATTTTCAATTTGTGGGCCACGTCTTCCCCAAATACTTATTTGTTTAACTCGAAGATGATCTCTTGCTTCATATGGCTCAGAAGTCCCAACCTCACATGGAAGACGATGGCAGGGAAAGACAAGAAAAAGCTGATGTAGAAGAAAGGCAACGTCGAACCTGAAATTGACATATGTGTAGCCATTTTAGTTAGCTTTATATTATATTCATTTACTCCTTTTCTTTCTCTCTGTTTTGTAAGGGGGTTTGTTCAATAAATAAATAAATATTAAGTGCCCTGTGACAGTGCACGCTGCTGTGCATTCTGGATTCGTTGATGTTTCCAGGTAGTCTTCAAGGGCAGCTCCTTGCAGATTGCATTGCATAATGCAAGACATGAGTGACTGTCAGCAAATGCCCCCCTGGTTCAGGAAAGGGTGTAATTGGGGCAAGAGATCAGGGGTCTCTAAAATTGGCAACCTTGTGGATCTCTCGGTGAGACCAAAGCCAACCTTGACTCCTCTTCCGATGATTTCACACGTTGGAAAGGAGGGTCACCCAAATTCCAGGTTTTCCACCAGCATGGACTATTCTCCACCAAGAATCAGGGATGGGTTTCAAATTTTTTTACTACCGGTTCTGTGGGCGTGGCTTGGTGGGTGTGGTATGGCTTGGTGGGTGTGGCTTGGCTTGGCTTGGTGGGCATGGCTTGGTAGGTGTGGCAGGGGAGGATACTGTAAAATTTCCATTCCCTCCCCAATCCAGGGGAAGGTTACTGCAAAATCCCCATTTCCTCCCGATCAGCTGGGACTTGGGAGGCAGAGAATAGATGGGGGCGGGGCCAGTCAGAATTTTTACTACCAGTTTTCTGAACTACTCAAAATTTCTGCTACCGGTTCTCCAGAACTGGTCAGAACCTGCTGAAACCCACCTCTGCCGAGAATACCTTATTTCTCATCCTAAGAAGCGAGTCCGTGATACAGAATTTTCAGTGGATTTTAAGTGAACAGAACAAGCTGGTAGGGGAGCAGATGGCTTTGCTTTGGATCTAGACCAAGTTAGGCTTTTAACATAAGGGGCAGCTGAGGAAGAGTTGACAGCACCCAGCTTTTGCGTCCTGAGATAGCTGCCCTACTCTGACTACTGGTAGGGCCAGACTGGCTGATACAAAGTACATTGCAATAATCCACCTCCTTTTTTTATAGTCATTATTATTGAAAAATAACTGGGACGGGAATTATCTCTCCAACATCATTGTGATTCCAAGTCTCATTAACACTGGCCATCGTGCTCAGTAAACAGGGATAAAAGTATGTTTAGATCTCTGGAGAACAGTCTAAATTCTCAGAGCCTGTAGTACAGTGGACTAAAGCACTGTTATTGACAACTGCTGCTTGCAATTACTGCAAGTTCAAATCTCACCAGGCTCAAGGTTGACTCAGCCTTCCATCCTTTCAAAGGTAGGTGAAATGAGGACCCAGATTGTGGGGGCAATAAGATGACTTTGTATAAATATACAAAAGTATGAAGGCTATTGCTTAACGCATTGTAAGCCGCCCTGAGTCTCCAGAGAAGGACGGCATATAAATTAAAGCAAAAATTAAAAATAAATAAATCATGGTTTAATCACCCTGCTCTGAAAAAACCCAGATGGGTCACCTTAAACTGAGAATCTTGGAATTAATAGGAGTCTACCATATAAACAAACAAACCTATTACCTTCCATTCTTAACAGTGACCAACCTGGTGTTTAATGTAAGTTGCTACTTCAGTCAAGATAAAAATAGTCAGGGTTTTTTTTTTTGTCTCCTAGATCTGGAGTTCAGAAGTTATTCCCTACATCCCTTTCATAATAGCAAACATCCTTGTTTCTAGAAAATAATTTAATCTCTTTTTAAAATCACCAGTGTTAGCAAACCTACTGTATTGTGGCAATGAATAACTGAGGCTGTTTTAAAATTTGGACCTTAAAAAGAAACTTGACTGGCCCCGCTCCCATCTATTCTGTGCCTCCCAAGTCCCAGCTGATTGGAAGGAAATGGGGATTTTGCAGTAATTTTCCCCTGGATTGGGGAGGGAATGGAGATTTTACAGTATCCTTCCCCTGCCACGCCCACTAAGCCATACCATTCCCACCAAGCTACACCCACAGAACCGGTAGTAAAAAAATTTGAAACCCACCACTGTTATAAATATATAAATGTATGCAGTTATTGTCTGTAGTATAGAGTTCTGGCCTTAGAAACCAATTTTTTTTCTGTATTTGGTTTCCTTCCTGATAATTTCCAGGAATCATCAAGGTATTTGAATAATTTAAAGGAGGAAAGTAGATTATGTAGTGAATGTCAAGTTAAACTTTTCTCTATATAGAGTTCAAGAGTGTTGATATGCCTCCTGGTTTTTATTATTAATTTTCATTCTTTACACATTTAGTTTGGGTAAGAAATCAAATTAGATAGATAGATAGATAGATAGATAGATAGATAGATAGATAGATAGATAGAGACAGACAGACAGACAGACAGACAGACAGACAGTAAATGATAGATAAATAATAGATAGATGATAGATAGATAGATAGAGACAGACAGACAGACAGATAGTAAATGATAGATAAATAATAGATAGATGATAGATGATAGATAGATAGATAGATAGATAGATAGATAGATAGATAGATGAAATTCGATTTACAATGCTACCTCAGTTCTCATCATTAATTGGTTCTGGGTGCAATGAGTACCAAAAATCATGACTACCAAACAATTTTTTTCCCATAAGGAATAATGTAGTGAGTCACAAGGCAGCCAATACCGACAAATTCTAACTTGTGTGTTGAGTAGCAAACAAACGATGAGTACTGGGACAAACTTTTCACATCAAAATGCATTGAGTACCAAATTCGATGAGTTTCAAAGCAAATGGGAAATTAAATGTAAAAAAAAAAGTCTATTGACATATACCATGTTAGTAATCATAGAATCCCAAAGCTGGTTTAAAGACTGTTGAAGTCATTCTTTTAAGCAGCAGGTATTGAATTAGAGTAGCAACTGTTAGATTGGCGCGGGGAAAAGAAGACGCGACTCAGCAGAGGTCCGTTCAGCACTTTATTCAGCTCATAGGGAATTGCCGGCTGTGCTGCTGAGCCCTCCTTATATACAGCTCTGGCAAGCTAGCCGGCCAATGACATTCATTTAAACTTCCCACTGGTGGATTAGCCAACCACCGGCAGATGCCCATATAAGGACACAACACCCCTCCCCTCCTAGTTCTCAGTCTGTCAATCCATGGCCGACATAGGTCATGTAGTCGCGCAGGTAGGCGGGGTGTCTACTAACCCTACTTGACCTGCGTGGTTCAGTCCCTGCTTCGATGTTGATCCGGACGGGTTGGGCTCCCGCCCTCTCCAGTTCCTGACGTGGAATTGTCTGGAACTTGGCCGTCGAGTGCGCTGGGTCTGGCCTACTGCCTCCGGCTGGGTTTGTTGGATTGTCCTGCGGGTGGCAGAGTCCCTCTCCCTGGCTGGGATGACGGAAACTCAGCCGCTGAAGTTCGCCTTGGACCCGGGCTGGGCAGCTGAACCGCGGTAGGTCCTTGGGTTCTTTCCTCCCTTCTTCAGCTTGTGCTCCGAGCCCCTGGCGGACTGTTGTGGTGGGACACCCCTGCGGCTGCGGTTGCGATTGATGCGGGTCGACTAGGTCTGGATGGTGTTGGCCTACCTTGCCAGGGTGGTGCAGGCCCACCTCGGCTGGGTGGTATAGGCCTACCTCGTTGGGGTGACGGCAGTCTACCTCGCCAGGGTGGTGCAGGCCCCCCTTGTCTGGATGGCACAGGCCTCCCTTGTCTGGGTGGCGCAGGCCTACCTTGTCTGGGTGGTGTCAGCCTACCTCGTCGGGGTGTTGTAGGCCTACCTCATCGGGGTGGTGGAAGTCTACCCCACCAGGGTGGCGCAGGGCTACCTCATCTGGCTGGTCTTTCTCAACTCCCCTCCACCTTTTCCGGAGCTGGTCGATGTGACACCTGCAGGTTCGTCCATCTTCCAGCTCCACTTCGTATGACCTCGGGCCGGTCACTCTCCCGATCAGTCCTTTCAGCCACTTCGGAGGGCCCTGGAAATTTAGCACGAAGACCGGATCTTCGGTTGTGAAAGTCCGTGGCAGCTGGGCATTGTTTTGTTGGCACTGTGGATTGTACTGGGGGTGTAGCCGATCCAAAGGTGATCGTAGTCTTCTCCCCATCAGAGCTGGTGGTGTGCGGAGTGATGTGCTGGGTGAACAGGAACTTATCAATTTTCTCCTGCCAGTCTCCTGCGCCCATTTTGGCGAGTGTGTCTTTGGTGAGTCTCACCATTTTCTCCATTTGCCCATTTCCTGCTGGCCTGTAAGGGGCGATGAGGGCGTGCCTAATGCCCAGCTCTGCTAAGAAGTCTTCCATGGTCTTGGAAGTGAGCTGGGGGCCGTTGTCCGAGACCAGGACGTCTGGAAGGCCGTGCGTGGCGAACAGCTGGTGGAGTGCCCTGATGGTGGCCTCCGTCGTGGTGGTGGGCATCGCGATTACTTCCAGCCATTTTGAGAACGCGTCCACTATGATGAGGAGAGACTATCTATTGCCATCTATTGGTCCTGCGAAGTCGATGTGTGTTCTCGACCAGGGGCTGCTGGGCGTCTCCCACTCCGTTGGCTGAGCTTGCGGTGGTGCCGGTCTCACCTCCTGGCATGGGTCACATCTGGCAATCCATTTTTCAGCGTTGGCCACCAGACTCTTCACCCACTCTCCCCCTTGGCCAGTCCCTCAAGGTCCAGGACATGACTTGCCTGAGGGTTTTTTCTCTTCGGGTATGCTTTGCCACGGTGGTGGACGATATTGGGCACAACTGGTCATCA